AATCCATTATGTTATTATGGGTAAGGTCCCATAACATTTATGATTATGTAATAGTTTTGATTGATAACTATCAAAATAAATACATGCAAGTAATTAATGTTAAATGTTAATTAATTAATTATTTGACGTGGATGGATACATAATGTAGCGATTATCTGTACTGAAAGTATTTATAAAAAGGCACAGGGATGCAACCTTATAGCTGTGGGAAAGTGACTGAAGCCGAGACGACAGATCAGGACTAATAATATTGCTGTTCTTTCTTTGGATTCTATCAAGGAGTTCAAGGTAAATAGCAGGGTCTTTGGACCATGTGTGGCAGCAATATTACAAGTATGGACGAATGGTAAACATAGATATGTAAGATAGATTCTGGAGAAAAAATTGTCTCACTTTACATCGTGAACCGACTTTCTTAGTGGTTGACCTGGCACTGGATTCAATATAGTCTTTCCACTTCATATCAGTAGAGAACATGAGTCCAATGATGCGCAACGTCTTACTTTCCTGGAGGATAGCATCAGCCATGCTGATGGAAGGCAGAGAGGTGTCTCTCAGATGATTAATGGAGAGATGTTTAGTTTTGGAGTCGTTAAAATTAAAAAGTCATCTTTTGCCCCAGTTAACTAAGGACTTGAGGTCGCTTTGGACATTGGCTGACATTTTGACCTTGACAAATTGATAAGCCTTACTGTCGAGGCAGAAATAAATTGTTGTGTCGTCAGCGTAGATATCAAAGTTAAAATCTGATGTCATCAGGAATATCATTAATGAAAATTAAAAATAGAGTAGGACCAAGGATGGATCCCTGGGGGACACCTGCATTAGTATGAAAGGATCAAGATGAGTGGGCATTTAGGATGATTCTCATTTCATGATTTGATAGAAAAGATTGGATCAGTTCAAAAAAAGTGACCGAAGACACCGTAATCTTTCAGCTTGTGGAGAAGACCTGAATACTAGATCCTGTCTAAGGCTTTTGAGATGTCCAATGCAACAGCCCGTGCTTCACTGTTTTTATCTGGAGCATGATAAACTCTTTCCACAAATATCATCAATAGACCAGATGACCTCTAGAAACGAAAGCCATATTGTTTGTCCGAGAAAAGGCCCTGCGATGAGAGTTGATGAAACAATTCAGCAATGATTAGTTTCCCTAAAAGAGGTAGAAAACTAATAGGCCGATAGGTGGAAGAGTCGGACGTCTCATTAGAGTTCTTAAAAACTGGAACAGAAGATAACGATTCCAGCAGGCAGGAAAGCAAGAAGCATCCAGCATTGTTTAGAGAGAACAGGAGCCAGTTCGGGAGCACACTTCTTAATGGGGGTCTAGGTTAGACATGACAACAGAAACTATGGAAGGGTTTATATGCATATCACTCAACAGAGGCTCAGTTCTAGGGGGAAGTTAGGAGGGGTATTCCGGACGAGTCAAGAGTTTGTTAGCTGAGGATGGTAACACTTCATATTGATTAATGAGGGAAAGAATAGAGATTTTATACTTATTTAATACCGACAGTAATCGTGAAAGACAATGTTGTCAGAGGCTATGCGGTGCCTCATTCTCTCGGCAGACAGGAACTTTGCTACTTAGAGAACTCGCTTACATTCAGTGCGTGCAGCGACGAATAGGCACTTATTGTAATGAGAGCCGTCATGCTTGTATAGTCGGAAATAGTGGTCCCTGTATCCTATAGCGGACGAGCATGCTGGTGTGAACCATGGATAGGATCGAAGTTTCATCTGCTATTTCCGAGAAGGTGTGAAAACGCCGGTGCTTGCTTTAACCTAAGAAGAAATCTCAGTGGTGCAATTTTCAATTGGGTAGTTGAAGATGTCGGTTCATGGGGTGTCATGAAGAAAATGCCGGAATTAAGGGAAAGGAAAGAGGTCTTATGGATAAGGGATTCCTGTTTAATAGAGGATTGGAACAAAATACAGCTATCACAGAGTGGTCAGAATTGTCAAGAGAGCAGTGTTGCTAAGCTCGACAAGAACGGCGAGAGGAAGTAAGAAATAAATCAAGAAGCATGTTGTTCGGTTTTGCTAAGGAAATGAGTAGAGAAGCCCACGATTTGAGTAAGGGATTGGGCAATGGAAAAATTTAATGTTTGAATACCGGCAACATCAGTACCTTTTTAGAATGTTTCAGCCAGATGTCATTAAAATCACCGAAGACAAAGATGTTCGCAGATGGATGGAGATAAAGTGTCTTACTGTCAGCTAATGGGTCTAATATACTGCAGTTTAGGGAAGAGGGTGAGCGATAAAAGCAAAGAGATATCTGACAGAGTTTAGTAGCAAAAGATGAAAGCATATTAAAGAGTAGTCAATGACCTTGAGAGACAATTCCCTGGCCATCAGAACATTATCCTGGTTGTAAACACCAAGAAGTTATTCCCTCTGTCCCTTTTGCCTATACTATGTCTTGTGAGTGCATGATTTGAGTAAGAGATTGGGCAATGGAAAAATTTAATGTCCGAATACCAGCAACCTTTAGAATGTTTAAGCCACGTGTTGTAGTGAGCATTAAAGTTACTAAAGACAAAGATGTTCGCAGATGGGTGGTGGGGAGGTGCTTTTTCTATACTGTTATCAATTATGTCTAATATACTACTGTCCTAGGAGGAGGGGGAACGATAAAGGAAAAAAGTGGTAGTTAACAGATATTAGTAACAAAAGTCGGAAACACATGAAAGAGTAGACAGGGGCCTCGAGATACAATTCCCTGGCCATCGGAAGACTATCCCGGATGTAAACACCAAGGCCATGCATGTGAATTCTGGAATCTTTTCGGCAAACGGCGCTACAGATACTCCGATATTGTGCGACTATTGATCAGAGCAGCCTCTCTAAGCGCTACCAAAGAGTTCGGGCTCCTAACGACCAGTCGGGAGCAGCAGTCAGTAAACTGCCAACCCTGTACCCTCACAATCAAAAGTCACAGTCACTGGTTAGTTTGATCACGAAAGAGTGAAGACAGTTAAATCATTGTGGCCCTGGTAGAAGAAAGAAAGAGAACTGGTAAACCATATCCTGAACAGGAAACAAAGGATGAACCTCTACTCCTGTTCAAAAGAAATGGAAGGACGATAGGTGAGCCTATCTACTCCTATTAACCAAAACTAATCATCTATAAATAATAAATTGTATATTTATAATTTAAATAATACATTATATATTCATAATAATACATTATATATTTACAATTATAAAAAAATGTGACATTGGCTGACATTTTGACCTTGACAATTGATAAGCCTTGCTATCGAGACAGGCACTCCCACATTTTTTAAAAACAATTGGAAGAAAAAGCTTAATCAGCATTGTTGTAAGACTAGTTCAGAATATAGATAGTCCTCAAATGCCATCACCTGAGTTCTCCACGTTAAACAACTAACCTTGTATCTCACCCTAAACCCAGTGCGGAGGCTGAGGGGAATTTTTGTCCCTGCCCGAGTGTACGCGCTCGGGTCCCCACATTAATCCGACCTTGTGTCACATCTCATTCTCGTGGGGGAATGGGTAAATACCAGTGTGGGTTACCAGAAGAATACTCCGCGTAAGCGTGGACAGGGTAAATGTTAACCAATGACCCGTGTATACGCGATCGGCTTCGCCCACGTTAAATAAAAGACCTTGTGTCACATCACGTCTCGATATCGAGACGTTGGTAAATAGCTGTGTTCCGCGCCCACGTGACCAGGAGGAAATTATAGTAATTGTTCCAGCAGCAGTCGACCGCCTGACCAATACTCTCGGCTATCATCAGAAGCTCCAGATAGCCAGCCATCATCATCTACAGTGGGACATCGGCCGCCACTCCAGCCATCTCCAGTAGGCCTGCTGCTTGAGCCATCTTCAGCACTTGCCGCTCGATTAGGCCTCCAGCTCCTGAAGCACCAGCCATCTTCAACACCGGCCATCTCCAGCTCTTGCCGCTTCAGCCATCTCCAGTAGGCCTCCAGCTTCTGCTGCTTGTCAACAATATGTAATAAACTGTCCTTTTTAGGATAACGCTCTCTAGCGACCACGAAACATTTATACCAATATGCCACCTTCAAATTGGGAAAGTATATAATATTTTACTTACTGATTAATTTTAAAAAAGCAGCGATATTATTTATTGGATTAGACTTTAAAAAATATACAAGATTATTGATAACTTAATCATTTGCATAAAATTATATATATATATAGTGATTTTCTAAGCGTAGCTTAGATATGGCACAAGGCCGAAAATATGGGGCACACAGTGAGGATCGAACTCACTACTTAGTAGTAATTGTTCTAGCGAGATAAGCTTGCTAACCATTACACCACGCCGAGATGTCCTAAGTGATTCTGTAAGCGTAGCTTAGATGTGGCACAAGGCCGAAAGTATGGTGCACCCAGTGAGGATCGAACTCACTACTCAGTTGTAATTGTTCTAGCGAGACAAGCTTGTTAACCATTACACCGCCACGGGGTGCCCAATTATATATATATATATTTGTGTGTCTGTGTGTGTGTGTGTGCGTATATATAATATCTACAACTAATATCGCACTATATAATAATAATAATAATAATAATCACAAAAGAAAGCTTTTCTTCATTAAACAATATTAAAAACAAAAATCGATCACGGTTTGAATCTTTGAGAAAAGATTTAAGAGTATGCCTGTCCAAAATTTGACATTGCAAAGATATTAAAAAAAAGTTAAGCCATGATATCTTATTTATTGTTAAATTATAATAAACAGAAAAATAATTTTTTTTTTTTAATTTTAATTATTATCTTTTTATTACAAATTATAATAAATTGTTTTGTTTGTGTAATTAAATAAATAAAGGAAAAAACATACATTTTTTACTATTTTTTATCATTAAAAAGTGAAATGATAACGGTGGGAAGCATACCTGATTGGGAACCCGGACAGTGCTCTGTGACCCCCGTTATCTTATCAACATTTACTTTTACCTACATTTATATACGTTACAAATTAAACTAAGCACAACTAATTATTAATGAATAAGTGTGAAAAATTTTCACGGATTTTGATCTGATTCTGAGATAGATAGATAGATAGATTGAAAAGACATGGCATTGAAAAAACTGGCATAGATAGATAAATATTGAAAAAATGGCATAGAGAGATAGATATGAACAGACTAGCATAGATAGATAGATAGATAGATAGATAGATAGATAGATAGATATTGAAAAAACTGACATTGAGATAGATAGATAGATAGATAGATAGATAGATAGATAGATAGATAGATAGATATTGAAAAAAATGGCATAGATAGATATTGAAAAAATGGCATAGAGAGATAGATATGAACAGACTAGCATAGATAGATAGATAGATAGATAGATAGATAGATATTGAAAAAACTGGCATTGAGATAGATAGATAGATAGATAGATAGATATTGAAAAAATTGGTATTTAGATAGATAGATAGATAGATAGATAGATAGATAGATAGATATTGAAAAAACTGGCATAGATAGATAGATATTGAAAAAATGGCATAGAGAGATAGATATGAACAGACTAGCATAGATAGATAGATAGATAGATAGATAGATAGATAGATAGATAGATAGATAGATAGATATGAACAGGCAGACACCAATAAGTTTATGTTGTTAGGCTATTAGAGAAAATAGAACCATGATGAAAAAAAGGTTAAAAATCGGAATTTTCGGGCACGCCCGCGTCCTTTCTCAACGAAAAATAAAATGAACTTGGACTCTCTTTTTGGAACAAAACGTTTAAAGACTGTTTTGCACATGTGTAGATTATTTAAGTGGTTTATGACCATTATTGGATGGTTAAACCTTGAATAGAGTATAGAGCATTATTTATGCGTTTGTTGGAATATTATTATTATTATAAATAAATAAAATATTAAATAAACATAACAATGAAAACTATAAATAAAATAAAATAAAACAATAAAAATAAAAGTTGTATAAAATGAATTAAATAAAAATTAAATAAAAAATAATAAAAACTCTCCCAGCATGCAACAAAAGCTGTTCCTGCAAGAAATATGGACATCCCGCCAAAGACGTTAAATTCAATCTCTCCACCAGGAAACTTGGTACGGGCGATAGGTGTCCACCCCCCCTCTCTCTCTCTCTCGCTCTCTCTCTCTCTCGCTCTCTCTCGCTCTCTCTCTCTCTCTCTCTTATTACATGCACCATAAAGCAGTTGTAACCTAAGAAATACACAAACCAATACACACATAAAAATATAAATGAATTGTATGAAATTAACGTACAATTTACTATGCTTTCCTGTTATTTGTGTATGTTTTATTTTCTGTCAAGTATGCTTTTATCTTCCTGCACACAAGAATAATTCCTGCTGCTATGATGCGAGTGAATCGTTCTACAATACTTGTATTCTGTAAGAAGCCTACGTGGACTATACTTCTCTACTACTAATACTACTACTTTTGCTACTACTACTACTACTACTACTACTACTACTACACACACACACACACACACACACATATATATATATATATGTGAACATAGAAGTCAACGCTTAGATGCGACAGTCTGTTTCATGCTAGATGCAATCGCCAGGCCGCTTTTATATTTACACACGCTCTATCTCTGATATTGAGCACTTTATTCCATAAATATAGCACACCCTAAGACTATATTTCTTCATATATATATATATATATATATATATATATATATATATTGTGAACTGCAAATTCTGAGTGCGCTTAAATAGAATCCGATGATTATCCAGATTTTATTTTGTTTTCATGATGGTAATAGAAATGTATTAGTTGATGTTTGGTGGGCACTAAGTTTTGCTATTAACCTGGTGTAACATGATATCTAGGAAAGGTAAAGTATTTTTTTTTCCATTTCGCATGTATTAATATTTCGCATATATTAATAAAACATTATCAATATTTCGAAAGTTGATTGCTTAGGTGAAATATTTTGGAAAGGACCAGATTCAAAAAATTCTAAGAAAATACATGCCATCATTCCATTAAGAGGTGATCTCATTGATAATCCAAATTTTTGCATTTTAAAAGGGAGGTCTTAATATTTTTTCAATGTCTAGTTTTCTTTCTGCTTGGAATCCACGTGACACATTGGGGCCAATTAACGATCTTTTTGTAATGTCGTCTGTTTTTTTTTTTGTTTTTTTTTCCCGTGAAAGCCTATGAAAAATTTTACGTTATTGTGAAATGTATTTCGTCGGGATAGTTTTTAAAAATGCCGAAACTTTACTGCCCTTTTCTCTGCTGACGACTTTCACTCGAGGTAGCCTAAAAATCTTTCAGCAGCCAGCCTGTGTGACGTATCACTTCCTTCGGTAGTAGCAGGCTTCTCCCTTTCCGCCGTCCAACCACCTTTTGCCGCAGCCAGCGTCTAACCTTCTGTCATTCATTCACTGACCCGTCAAATATCCTCGGGGATGGATCAACGAACTTCAACTTTAAATTTTACGAGTTCGTAATCCACCATTTCCATTGGACAAAAATACAAGAGTAATATATTTATATGTCTACCATAGCAGTTAATTCTCACAGTCCTTTTTAGAGCCAATTCAAAATGAAAACCTTTTACAACGAAAATGAAAATTTTTAATAAACCTTCTAGCTTTCTTTTAACTTAGTCACACTTTTTAATTAATTATTATTTTTAATTATTTTATGCTACTAGTATAAATTGGTTATATCAGTTCAATAAGTTTTAAACTCTTCAATTCAATATTTTTTGAAAATCTCAAATTAACTTGTTTAAACCAAATTGCAGTATATTCGATGTTCTTTCTTTATGTAAAACTTGATTTTATCAGACAAATGACTGTTTATTTCTCTGTATTTCTTTATTTTAATCAGGCTGTCATAAGTTTCGGATACTCGCTGCAAATCCGACTCACTACAGTAGAAATGCGCCAAGCGGAAATGCAATTTTTTCTCCGGATTGCATTTTCGGAATTAAAATTTGCTCGCTCCTCACCAAATTTTATGTGATAAAAATAAAATATTAAAAACAGAGAGAAGGTTAAAAGGAGATAACCGCGGATTTGAATTATCATTGATAACTCTCTCCTCCAATTTGTAGACACTAGTTACTATATTCTTATTACTTGATATAATGCAAAAATATCACAATGATAAAATCGAACTATAATTATTTACAACTATTTATACTAGGACTCATGCATGCAATTACAAGTAACCCATAATAATATTAGAACCTGATTTTTTATGAAAAGTAATGTTTTATTTATAAAAAATTAGTAAGAAACTGAGAGTATTGTCCATTGCTAGCCACTACTTTTCCCCATCTTTCTGACAGCATTTGAATTCCACGTCTGAAAAACGACACGTGTGCCATCGATCTGAACAAGTGATAATCGGACAGGGCAATGTCCAAGAGATATGGCGGGTATGGTAGTATGGTAGTACTTCCAATTTAAGCGTTTCCAAGTAGGCTTTCACCCGTTTGGAACATATGGACTAGCGTTGTCATGTTGCAAAATTACGTTGTAGTATCTCTGCTCGTATAGCAGCCGTGTTTCTTCAAACCTCGACTGAAACGCATCAGTTGAAGTCGATAGCGAGATCTCCCGTGATGGTTTCAGTCGGTTTGAGCAGCCTATAATAAACCACACCCAACTGATCCCAACAGATGCAGCGCAGACGCTTCAAACCATGGATATTCGACTTTGCCGCCGATGTTGATGCATGGCCCGGCTTGCCCCACGATCTTCTACGCTTATGGTTATCATAGTGTATCCACTTTTCATCGCCGGTCAAGATATGATGCAAAAAAACTTTCCTTTTCTGCCGTTGAAGCAGCTGTTCACACGTGAAAAGAGGCCTTTCGACGTTTCTCGGCTTCAACTCGTACGGCACCCAATGTCCTTGCTTTTGAATAATTCCTAATTCTTTCAAACGTTTCGAAACTGTGTTGTGTGATCAACTCCTAATGATTCTGCAAGTTGCGCAAGACATGAGTTTTCTTTGTCTTCAAACTTTTTCGGTGTGCCAGAGCATTCTTTATCTTCAACATCAAAATCATTATATTTGAAGCGCCTAAACAAATTTCTGCATGTTGTTTCAGATAGAGCATGGTCGTCGTAAGTCTCAACAAGAATTCTATGCGCTTCAGCTGCAGATTTCGTTTGAATAAAGTAGTGCAGTAAAATACCCCGCAAATACACTTTCTTTGGAACGAAATCCGACATGTTTAACGTTATAAAAAACATAGTTGTTTACACTTTGGTGAAATGATATACACTGAATTTCAAGCTTGCTAATAGTACTTCCTTATAGATGCGTTACCATCTGAATCTACATGCACACAATTCTGGGAATGCCATCTGTCGGAAAACAGCAAAGTCCTAATAGTTTAAATTTAGAAAACAGTTATTTTTGACATTTGAATTTTTTGAAACTGTTTCTAAATTTTTGATTCTCATTCAATCTTTCTACCTCACCCGTCATCCTCTTCTGGCGCGCCTATGAGGTGCACCACACCATCTTGGGTACCAATGCACTATATGATGAAACAAATCTGTAAGGCAAGTTTACAAACATTTCCTCCACAGCGTGTCGCATTCTCTATACTTAATCTTATATAAATGTACCATAACTGAGCACTCATTGGTAATTGAAATCACTACGCAAGTGAATAGGCTTGTGTAAATGAGCTTAATGATCATTTCTATAAATTTATTCATTCTTATTATGATTAGTCCACATTCAAGATCATATTAGTAAGACACTCATTGAGGATCGTACTCACTACAAGCGAATTTGGTTCGGAAGGAGAGTTTTCTAATTATCGTATCAATGCCATTTTTTTCGGTACTTGTGGGTTATCTGTCGCCACTTTTTATAAAGTTAGATGTGCTATTTATTTCAAGGTTAATCATCGATACAATTGCATTGTTGCAGATATCAGAGACCACCCTCAGAATATCAAGCGCTTGTGAGGATCAGCAAAATGGAGGGACAAGCGTCACCGAGGAATGGCACGATGCCATCTTGAGACCTACAAGGCCGAGTTGATGTGGAGAAAGCAACTACCGATGGCGTTGACCCATTTGACGCCATCTTACAGGTTATCGTCGCGTTCATACCACCCGAATTATATGATTAATGTTTGTTATTTGGAGAAATAAATATAACTTAAGAAACAAATAGTATCTTTTTACACATCTGTATTTGTGAAAAAGTTGGAAAATTAATTTAAAAAGTGGCGACGGATAACACACAAGTATCTTTTTTTTTATACATAGTTTACATGTAACCGACATTTGTTAAAAAGAAAAAAAACGTTGGGGTAAGCTTATTTACAAAACAGTCAAATTCTTGACCCCAAATAAAATTCCGAAACTGTAAAACACATTATTAATTCCAGCAGAAGGTGGCAATATTCGAATCTTAAGAATGGCTGGACAATTCGTAACGACATACAACTCACGTGATATTGAATAGGCATTGATTGAACCTTTGTCAAGGTTAACTATGACACGAACAGATCTTTGCAGACACTGTCTGGGCAAGTAAAGTACACACAAAAAGGGGAATTTTGATCTGTTTGTCGATTTACCTCTGTTTACCTTTAGCCACTATTTAACGCTACAAAATACTAATATTCTACATTGAAATACCTCAAATACTTATGTGGAATCATCTATATTTCCTAAATAAGAACTAATATTTGCCAACTTAAAAAAAGCCCATGTTTATTTGGAAAAAAGTTAAAATTTGTAAGAATAGGTTTCATTTTCTTTCTTTTGGAGTAATACAAATCCCAAAGATTTTCTACGTAAATTTTTATTTAATCTGTCTGTTAGTGAGATGAGGTATTGTAACTATTTACACTATTTACATTGATCAGAACGTGGTCCTCATCTTTGCTGTCATATTCACGACGTTTCGGCCGTTGTACTCTCCGTCTTTCTTCAGGATCTGTTTATATGTATGAGATCAGGTATTGTAACTATTTATACTATTTACATTGATCAGATCGCTGTCCTTATTTTTGTTGTTATATTCACGATGTTCCGGTCGTTGTACTCTTCGACCTTCTTTAGGTGATATACGTTGGAATTTCGAACCGAACACTTTATTTCATTTACTGGGGTAGATTGTTCTAGTTCCACATGCCATGCCTTTTCTGGATATCTCAGTTTCATTTATTTTTTTTTCAGTTTTTGTTCACTTCGGCTGTGGCCAGGTATTAAACTCCCAACTCTTTGGATCAAATTACTGCATTACTTCTACAGTACGAAAATTCCAACGTATATCACTTAAAGAAGGCCGGAGCGTACAACAGTCCGAACAATGTAAATAGTGTAAATTATTATTTAGTATTTCTAGAAAGATATCTAGTATTCCTATAGGGTATAGTTTGTACAAATAATACTAAAAGTTTCATAACAATGATTAGCTTACATTATTTACATTATTCGGACTGTTATCCTCATCTTCATTGCCATACTCACAACGTTTCGGCCGTTGTACGCTCCGGCTTCTTCAGGTGACTGGAATTTCGAACCGAACCCTTTATTTCGTCCACCGGAGTAGATTGTTCTATTTCTGCGTGTCATGCCTCTTCCAGATATCTCAGTTATTTCCCTTTACCTCAACTCTCCAAGTTTTGGTTCATCACTGCTGTATTGCTGTATTATGAAAGGGTCTTTTGATCTAGTCACTGGATCTAACCAACGCCTTTATCCATTGTGCCATGTATACTTAAGGGCATCTATATATGAATTTCTGGGACTTGTAAACTTAATGTCTTCACCATCATTTTTTACCAGAGCTCATATTGCAATTTTCGTTGTTATTATTGCTTTTCTCTGGCACTACAAATTACTGGTTCCATATTGTATTCATTTCTGTGCTTGGTCGGCTCAGGAGATTTTTGTGACCTAGCATATATGCTGATTCCTTAAGTTTTCGTATTTTCTAGTGATGTTCTCTGTCTATTATTTCAACCATTTCTTACAACGGCCGAAACGTTGTGAATATGGCAATGAAGATGAGGATAACAGTCCGAATAATGTAAATAATATAAGTAATCATGATATCTACTCTCAGAGATATAGACATATAGACAGACGATGCTTAGGGAGGAAATAACTATCAAGCATGAACGGTTCCTCTGTGATAAGATTTAGTCAATCGACAAAATGCGCCAAAAATGGATGATTAGATGTGAATTACTTCCCTGCTATGACAAGCCAAGACCAACTAAGACAAGCTTGAACCAGCGGCCCGAGTGAAAACACTCGGATCCCCACAGTAAAAACTGACCTTGACCTACTCATTGGTAGTGGTGCGGGGGTCAAGTAAATCTCTACTCCCAGGGAATTTTGCTAATCAGTTTTCAGTGGACGCTTTTACCTGTCACCAAATAATGGTGAACTCAAAACAAACCCAAAACCTCTTTAAGGCAATTAATGTTAATCTCTTCTTTTAATATATATTAATATATATATATATATATATATATATATATATATATATATATATATATATATAAATTCGCTGAATCATATGTCCAGTTCACATTCATCCCCAGTATTTTGAGCAGGAGTAGAGGTTTATCTCTTCTTTCTTGTTTGGCATAGGGTTTCCGGTTGCTTCTAAAGTCTGCTGCAGTTTCCTAACGCTTGCCCGTACCTACGACAATATAACTCTATTCAGTAACCCTTTACATTGAGTGGCTCTTGGGACTTGTATTGGGGAAGCATTAATATATATATATATATATATATATATATATATATATTCAGTTGAAAATACAATCTTTCAAGAATACATATAAACAATGAACAAAGAATGTATAAAAACGGTCATGATGTTGTAGTATCTCTTAATATTTATTTTGGACCGGAGAACCTAATTTCTTTATCATATGGAAAATCAACCGAAAGCAATTTATTAGATTCCTTTACGTCTGTATCTTCAATCCGATAGATTATACAAATACACAAATTGACTGATTGACTAAAAGGTTTTGTAGAAGTTATTCTCTGCTTATCAAATTTTCTACGTAAATTGCTATTTAGTCTGTCTATATTTCTGAGATGAGGTATTGTGACTATTTACGCTATGTACATTCTTCGGACTGTTGTCATCTTTTTTTTTTTTTGTCATATTCACAACTTTCCGGCCGATGTACGTTCTGGCCTTCTTCAGATGATATACTAATGTTCCCCAAATACAAGTCCCAAGAGCCACACAATGTACAGAGTTACTGAGTGGAGTTACATTATCGCGTGAAAGGGTAAGCATTAGCAAGCGCTGAAGTATACTTTAGAAGGAACCGGAAACCCAATACTAAACAAGAAACTTTACATTAAGTTTGAATACTGCTGCCACATCTGGTCTGGTGCTCTTCCTATATATTTAAAGGTTCTTGATAAAATCGAAAGAAGAATCTGCAATGTTATTGGTCCTGACCTCGCATCTCAGCTTCGGTCACTTTCCCATCTTCATAGCTTCTCTGTACCTTTTCTATAAATATCTTCACGGTAATTGTTTTGATGAACTTTCCTCTATGGTACTTTATGAATTTAAGCGCAGTACACACACACACACACACACACACACACACACACACACACACACACACACACACACATATATATATATATATATATATATATATGTATGTATATATAGAAAAAGTTGCAAATTAAAAAAATAATAATGTTTTTTATGAAAGTATTTATTTATTTATATATATTTGATATTTCAGATCGACCTCAATCTTTCTTCAGAAATAACTGTTTTTAGAGGTTTGTTTACAAGTAGCGTCCGTCGCGAGATGCGGACGTCACGTGATATGGAACGTCACTGTGTTCGAATATTCTTAACGTAAATCTAATTGTAATAATATTTTAGATGTTGTTTAAAAAAATTCAAAAAAATTATATATATATATATATATATATGTTCGATGGGTATTGGTGGAAGCACTTTCAGAAGTACGTCCTGATGTCTGCCGTTTGACTGAGATGACTGTTTTTTTGTTTTTGCAATACCTCACAGTACTAATAAATGAGAGTTTTACATTTTTGGATCAAGTGTTGGAGAAGAATAAATACTTACATATACATATAGATAAATCCAAAGAAAATTTATACTTAAGGTTTCGAATGACTCTTTAAAAATAAAAAAAATCTTTCTTGAAGCTTTTATTTTAGTTCTGAATAAGTTTATTTTTAGTCGGTAAAATGCATGGTTTTAGTCGTATTTACAATTCTCGCAGCACAACGTAATTCTCTTTATAAAAATAAAACATAAAAAATATACTTTTCTGAAACTTTATTTCGGGAAGATTAGCTGATTTAAAATTTAATTAATCTGATTTGAAAGAAATGTTACTTTCTTTTAGTTTAAAATTTCACAGGAAAGCATTTTTAACAAGGAGGTGGGTGTTTTATAAGATGTTGATAACTATCTCGATAGATTTGTAAGGGCCTATTGGTTGAAAGAATTACTTTTGGAACATTGGGGTTACCAATTGTAAAGGTTTCCGTTTGTAGATAGACCAATACTATTTATATTATTATACTTTCAACGTACAGGATTCAAGT